TTTCATCTCTTTCTTGGATTAGTCTGGATAATCTTTGTTGTTGTTGTTATTTATCTCCCTGGCTAAGGCCATTTACACCACCTGTATCTTTGGTTAGGGAGGATAGAGTCTTGTGATTTATCATGTAGCTCTTAATTGCTTAGCTGTTCTAGTCATTTGTTCAGCAATTTGTCTCCATTTCCTCATTCTACTTTCTAGGGAATTTTCCTGCTTTTTTACTAACCTGCCTCACCATTACCCATGATTTTTTCTAAATCTTTTTTTCAGTTATATCTTTAGCTCATACACCTCTTAGAGCTCCATAAACCTACACTCAATTGCTGGGAGCTACATTTCTTTCTGTAAAAATTACTTGTATGATTCAAGAACTACCTTCCTTCTTGTACTGTCTTTCATCTATGCTAAAAGATTAATTAATAAGACCATATTAATTTTACCCATTTATACAACATAATATATTATTATCATATTCCCTCGCAATCCTAGTCTTATGAAAGGCTTATTATTATTTGAGAATACCTCTACCATTCCAATTCCAAGTTATTTTAATATTGTAAATGTTGCTGTCTGATACTTTCATATATGTTTCTTATATTATCAATGAAGTTTTTCTGTGACTATTTGCACCTGAAAGTTTGATCTCTAGAAATATGTATTGTTACTGCTGATATGGAAAGGCTGTGAGTAAATAAAAGTCCCCAAATGTCAAGGGAGGCTGAATTTATAAAAATAAAAAGGATGAGGTTCGGTGTAGCTGTTCCATTCATTTCTGCAATCTTAGCAATCAGTGACAATGGCTATGTGGTCAGTTTTGCTGTTGTGCTGTTGCTGTGTGCTCCCCTGGCCATCCTTGATAGCTACTGACTGAGAGAGGTTATGACTGCAAAGTTCACGAACATTTCATGAGTCAGAAATATAAGTAATGTTAGTTATTAGCATACTGTCTATGACACTTGAAAACCTAAGCAGTTACTCTAATTCAGAACTGGTGAGTTGATCAGGCTGTGTCAGTTATGAGTTGGCAAGCAAATGGCCTGCTGTTCACAGATTTGAGGCATTAGCAAAAGGCAGAGGAAGCAGATCAAGGCCAATGGTCTTCAGTACGTGTCTTTGTCCATTTGGGTTGCTATAACATGATATGACAGACTGGGTCTCTTAGGAACCACAGAAAATTATTTCACAGTTCTAGAGGCTGGAAGTCTGAGGAGGTCAAAGTGTCAGCATATCTGGTGAGGATCCTCTTCTGGGTCACAAACTTCTTGTTATATCCTCACATAGCAAAAAAACCTAAGGATCTCTCTGGAGCCTCTTTTATAAGGTATTAATCCCATTCATAAAGGTTCTACCTTCATGACTTTTAAGCACCTCTCGAAGACCCCACTGACTAATAACAACACCTCTGGGTATTAGGATTTCACCACATGAATTTGGAGGACACAAACTTTCAGATTATAGAGATATAGAACAAACGCCTATTGTTGGCAGAGGCTAGGAAACCAGAGTAATAGAAAAATCTCATAGCTATGAGGTCCGCTGAGTGGCAAAAAAGTGAAAAAATAAAAATGGCTACATGTTTCTTAACAAGCACCACAGGCTGCTGATCTATTGCAGAGGAATGAAATGCTATATTTAACTCCTATCTCAATGAAACTAGTTTCTCTCTCCTTTCAGGGGGAAGAGGAATATAAGAAAAAAAAAATCTCTCATTTTATAATCTAAGTCAATACAAGAATGATTCACTTAGAACTCAAAAGAATTAAGTGTTCATGAAAAAAAGGTACATAACTCCAAATAAGGCAATATTCTGAATTTAGTTCTCTGGCTTTATTGAAAGGTATATTATAAACTATTGCTTGAGTTGTCACTTTAGATGTCACATCACCGAGGCAAGGAAATCTGGTTTCAAACAAGTCTGAAACAGAGTTGAAAATCTATGAGGCCAGTATCGTCTGTGAACTGGCTCAAACGTACACGCTTGAAAACGATCAAGGATTTTCTTTAACACAAAATAACAATTCAATTCACCAACTCTATGTTTTTATTAATAAAAAGAATTATTATATTTACAGAAAATATAATTATTTCCAACCATATTGGAATAAATATGTTTCTTAAGGAATAAAGCGCCATCAATTAAAGAGCTCTTTTATTATTTGTTTTTAGTCAAGGGGTAAAATGACATTAGGGCCATACTGATAGGACCTCTTGGTGTGGCTCAAATTTCTGTATCAAGTAACAAAGAGTAGATGTGTTCATCTTAACAGGGCCTCCACTGTAACTAAGATACCCTTTGTTTTAAGCACATGTTTGTATGTCTGATTCTTATCTTCGGCTTCGACCTTCTCAAGGCCTTCAAAAGTCTTCAAAGATCAGGTGTTGCCCAGCCTAGACCCTAATCACACAGCACAGAGCTCATCTTTGGAGCAATTTAAATGACTATTTTCAGAATTGATATAGCCGAGAAAGTCCTTTATTCCCCCAGGATACCTGCAGGAAAATCACAGAAATACACTCTTAAGAGATACATTCTACCTCAGAAGTCACTCTCCCTCAAGGTCAGCTTTGCAGAGGCTGTCGCAGCCATCCACCAGGCAAAGATAAGCTCTGAAGTGGTGTTTGAGGAGTCAACATTTTTGAAACTCCCAACTATATCAGAACAGAAGCTTTGGATTTTCCAGTAATCTCAGGGAGCTAGCTTTCCCTAGAGGGAAGAACATAACCCCAGGGAAGATACTTTTCTTTTTTATTGGCCATAATCACCTGCTAGGCTGATCAGAGCAACAGGGGTTAGAGCACTAATGTGCACTGCTGGCCAGAAGCCAAAAATGGGCCTAGACATGCAGAACATGGATACGATGCGTGATTTAGCAACATCTGTGGTTTAGACATCAGATACATTAAAGGGCAGAGAACTGGAAGCTGGTTTAGAGGGACAGCCATAAGGAAGATAAGCACACAGCGCCATGAAGTAACTGAATATCCTCCCTTGAGATTTTGTCCCCAGAGTCTAGCCAAATGAAGACACTGACTTTTTTTCTCAATTCTCTAGCAACAAAATGAATCTTGGTGTGGTCGACGAGGCACAATGGGGATTTAGTAGTCTAGGGAGTTGCTGCGTCCTCCAGAGCGCAGCATACATGTGAACAAATTGATTCAAGACCAAGGCTCATGCTCGTAGGACAATAAAACTGGGATTCTAAAATATATAAGAAAATAATTGGTTTACAAGCAAGTTATTAATACAATATAGAAAAATGAGCAATAATCACTGTGGGAATTCAGCATAAATTTTGATAGATTTGTAGTTTGAGAGAGATGAGTAGAAGCTGCCATCGTTTTAATATTTTATGCCCTAATTTCTGTGTCACAGTTCAAGATCATTAGGTTTATTGCTCACATTTAAATTTTTCAACACTTTTTCAACCCAAAGTTTTATTAATCTGATTAAAGTTTGAGTTTTAGATAAGCCGAATCCAGCCAGTACGTGAAATATAAGTAATCCCCAGAGTAATCAAGCATGGCTACTGATTTGAATCTGCATTTAACTGCAGGATATCTTATCTAAATTCAGATGCAAGTCACATAACATAATGCAAAGGACTTCAACCTAAACTCTCAGGGGAATGCCATTTATTAGCATCTTAGGAATTAAAGAAATATGTAGTACTGAAACTTGAACACATTAAAGAGGTAAAACTAACATGCCTTTTGGCATGTTGCAAGTGTTGCTGGCACATCTTTTTTACAATAAACATAGGGGTTAGTTAAGGAGAAGTTATCAGCTGGTTGGTATCTTCATTATAGCAGAATTCATCATGAGAGAGCATTTCTTGAAGGGGCCACTGACAGGGGCTTACTAATCCCAGTGTTGTGGGGACGTCACCCAGACTCTATTGACCTATGGGCTATTTAGTATTTACTTAGGATACTACCATTAAGTGCAACATAGGATTCAAATATAAAATAAAGTAGGTCCATATAGCTGTGCTTTTTGAGGAATTTAAAGCAATTGAATTTATTTGGGTTGAAAAGACTTATGTGTGTAGAAACTGTGAGAGAGAATAATTCAAGAATTTTTTTTGGCTTTGTAATCTCATAAAAATTTGGAAAGAAACATGCAGAGAGAAAGAGAAGAGAGTCATTTAAGGGGCATCAGAGAGAGGGAGAGAGAGGACTAGGTAAAGATTAAATGAGGAGGAAAAGCCCTAGGTGGCAGAGATAAAATGAGATGATGACGACGGAGTGTAGATTCAGGAAAAGAGTGAGCAGGTGTGGCCCTGGCAAACGCTGGAAATGGTAACGCGATACCAGCCACCGTGAGAACGAGGGCCTCTGCCCACAGTCTGCAGAGAGGTTACTGGGGAGCCTGGGAGGAATCCGGTAAAATTGAATCCTACATTAAGGCTCAGAAAAGTTAAAGGGCTTTCCCAGGCACATTCCTAAAATACGGCAGAGATGAGACTCTCCTTTAAATACTATCCTCAATACTATACCGCATCTGGGTTATACAGGGCAGCGGTAAAGTGGTGTTGACCCTGAACTCAGAACCACCCTATCTCAGTTGTAGGGTTAACTTTAATGGCAGTTAACCAACAATATCATCTGAAATGGTTCTTGACATATCCCAGCCAGTTTGTGCTTTTAATAGACTCTTTATACTTAATTCCTTTTGCTCTTTTTCGACTCTAACAGATGAGATGCCACGTTCTGGTATGTTTCATTTTCTAACATACAAAACAATGTATAACTAGCAAATGTATATATCAGCTCAGTTTCTTAAATAGTGCAAATAACCCCATAATAATGGTCTACAGCTGTCATATAGCCTCTCCTGCCAGTGTCTACTAATGAAAGAAAAATACAGTTGCAACATTATCTCACTATGTACTATATTCACCAGTTGGCAAAACTTCCCATAGGATGCCATTACTATCCCATCTAAGATAAAAATGGAAATCATATTTATAATACATATTTACCTATTTTATTTTATCTTCTAGGCTCTTCAATGGCCAACAAGGAATTCTTATTCAAAATTTTAGCACAAGATCCATTCTCACGGTTACCAATGTGACACAGGAGCACTTCGGCAACTACACCTGTGTGGCGGCCAACAAGCTAGGCACAACCAATGCGAGCCTGCCTCTCAACCGTAAGTAACACAGTGCTGCCAAAATGCCCCCATGGGCCTGTTGGCTCCTTGCCATCAGTAGAGACAAAACATAACAGGATATATTCATTTTAAGACTCGGCCTGATGTGACACGTTCCTTACACAGAAGAACTTGGCCACAAAATAGTATGTGTTTAGAATTTTACAATCTATACAGAAGTCTACATGTGCTTAGAAAAATGTCTTAAAGCTGAGAAAAGAAAAAAAAGGCTTATATAATAGAACGCACTAACAAATGTCTTCTGGATAAAGACAATTGGTTTGGTGAAGGCTTTTTGTTCTGTTTTTAAAAATGCATTATAGTATCTTGAAACATGGATTGATTTGGGTTGAATTTACTCTTGACTGGTTTTCCTTGGATGCTAATCTGGGAATAGCAAGAATTTCACATGCCATAAATAAAATGAAATAGTAAGTAAATGATCATGTACAAAAATATTTTATCTATATAGAGAACACTTTCACTCAAAACTATATTTTAGAATACAGCTTAAGGTTTTACTAAAATAAAGACTACATTTATAATGTACCTTAGTTCCTAAGGACTAGAAATGAGAAAAAGAGATTCAACACAAGGATGAGTTGAGGGGAGAGCAACCTATTGTAATGTTTCTTCCTGTAGTTTATTTTGGTGCTTTTTAGAAGCTCAATCACCAAAAGAGTGTTATACCATTAAATAGCCCTGATTTGAAAATGTAATGTTTCTCCACATGTTCAAAGAAGATGACAGAGAATACACTATCTTTTCAGCTTCACAAAGTTAGCTGAATCATCCTTATCTCATATATTTTTATAGAAACCTGGTGTATATATTTATGCAATCATCCTGTGATCGTAAGCTGTCTCTGAAAAACACAAATATTGTGGAGTTAATCACAGACATGATCATTTTCATTTCTCAGAAATAAGGATGGGGTATATAATAGTCTTAGTACTTACAATATATCATAATAAGAAGTTTTTTGATTTGTGAACTTTGAATAATTATGATTTAGGAACTTCTGATGCTAAATGAATGTAACAACTTGTTAATAAAAATAATCATTCGTTTTTTCAGCTTAATATTAATGTTTTATTTTTATTCCTTTTTTAATAATTTATTCTTCAATTACAGTTGCCCTGCTTCCTCCCCATGCTCTCCCTTGCCCCGCCCCCTATTCACACAGTCCATCCCCACCATTGTCCATGCCCATGAGTCCTCTATACGTGTACTTAATTTTTTTAGCATCGCCACTCTGAAAGGAAAACATTGCTTACAACACAATAGGTGCTCGAGTTTCTCTCATAAGGATGATATATTTAGTGTAATTATAAATAATATAAACCATTGAAAATATTATAGAGCAGTGTGAATTCCAATTTAATGTAAATATTGATACTTCTTTGGTATGTTATTAATATTTTAAGTGGTTTAAATATTCAAGAATCTGAAAGAATAACTGAATTAAAAATGCCAAGTAAAGAAAAATTTGAGTTAATAACATGTTAAGTTTTTGCTATTTCAATTTCTAAGCAACATTCTAATACTCAAAACTGAAGTATCAATGAATGTAACAAATTAGGAACAAATGTCACTTATTTAAGTGTTTTACTCTGGCTACCTTAACACAATCATCTGGAAGTGAAGCACTACTCAAAAGACTTCTAAACTTGGTATCTTCAGAATGGACTTCAATGATTTCTCTCTCTCTCTTTGCCACTGGCTTCCTGTTTGTAGAGGTGCTGTGAAATACCAGTGTGATTTGATTTACTTGTTTATAAAGACATTATATGTAAATATTCTCTATAATTATGAACACAGCCCTGGAAATTTGAAGAAATATCCATATATAAGAACTCTTGTATGCCCTCATCTGAAGATCTTATTGAATTAAGCCTTTCTGTGTACAATAATTATTTTTATATATTTTTCATCTCTTCACCAAATTATGTTTGTTAAGAAGACATACAAACAATATATGTCAGATATCAAATTTAAGTATATGAAAGGCAAATGGGGTCAATGTTTAACTGAAAACATATACAAAAATTAGACTTCGGGCATTTAAACACATTTTTATGGTATTTCAAATCTCCTTGGAATGGTGCAGTTATCCAACACAGGCATAGTGAACCTGAAAACTATATGTGGGGAAAGGCAGCATTCCTAAAATACTTACAGTGCCAGCTGGAATGAAAGCAATGCGTCCCTTGATAAGAACTCCTGTCACATCTTTACAAGATCTATGAATGGGAGGGTCTTCAACTTCTAAACTGATCCAAGACTAGAAGCCAGTCTAAGATGATCTAATACTGGCCTATGATCTGTTTATATAAATACACACACACACACACACACACACACACACACACACACATATATATACGTATATATAAATAAATCTATTACTGAAGATCAACTATTTCTATAGTACGTGAAACAAACTTGACCATCTTCTTATCCAGGAGAAAGAAAGTAGGCTCTAGAGTCTACACCAGTATACATGGTGATATTTGGAACATGCCATGAAAAAGAAAATCTTCCTGCTTCCAGAGTTTGTATTTCTGAGTAGTTAATATGCTTAAAGACAGGGTAATTAAAAAAATGAGAGTTACCTAGCATAGTGCTTATATATAGCACACACTCAAACTGGTTGATAATAGCATTTCAGCAGAGCCTTATCTGCTGGGAATCAGCTCCCCACCCATAGTTATTTAGGGTAAATCCCAAGGCTGTTATAATCTACTCCTAGTTTGTAATAAACTACATTTTCTAAGTCACCAAGAAGACAAAAGACAATAAACTGTAATCTAGAGCTTTGTCATAGCTAACACTGTCCAATATGCAATGCAGCAATTTTTGTTATGTAAATGTTTTAGTGTGAATGTTTCACATAAAGGGAATCAAGAAATTCTTTGCTTGAACCACAGTTTTACCACATCAGTTGTGTGTGACTTTGAGGAAGTTACCTAAATGCCAAAGCCTCAGTTAATTCATTTATAAAATGGAGGCAATGATAGCTCCCACAAGGATGAAAATTAAATGAAATGATGCATATAAAGCATTTATCACTCATCCTGTATCAAAGTAAACATTCAATAAATGTTAAGCATTGTTATTATATTATATCCTCCAAGATCACTCTCTTTGTTTCAAAAAGTTGTATATAGATGGCTGACTTTATCTGATGACTGATCACCAGTACTTTATTGAGTATTTAGATGATAAATTCTTACTGGCAAGCCAGAAAGAAAGCATGCAAATTTGAAATAATATCCCAATTCTAGCTTATAACCTCATCTCTTGTTCAGTGCCTGACCCAGACCTTGTGGCACTAATTGCAGACTAAATGTGATGTTGGAGACTAGAATTTTATACATCTGGGGGATTCAAAAAGTAAAAGCAGAACTGAACCAATTGTTCTATTTTGAGGCCCAGGAAATTCATTCAATAACAGCATTCATTTTTCAAGTGTATGTATATGCGTTTGTGTGTGTGTGTGTGTGTGTGTGTGTGTGTACTGCCTACAATGTGCAAAGCATTGTGTTAGATGCTAGATGCTGGAAAGAGAAGGATGAATACAATTGGAGTCCCATCCTCAAATAATTCTTAGACAAATGAGATAATGGGGATAAGAACACAGGCAACTGTAAAGCAGTATAGTCAGTTGTACTGTACTAGAGTAGAGAAAAGGCTGATAATTCAGCCTTGAGTGTCATGGAAGTACTGTCCTCTGAAGCAGGTAATATCACTATGCACATTATAACGGAGACAACTCAAATACCATTTTAGCCATCATTGTCTCATTTTTAGAGGCAGAACTTTGCAGAATTTATTCCACAACAATCATCAGCACAATGAGGGAATGATCAAGTCAGTCTTAATGACTCAGGACAAGCTACAGAGGAGATGACCCTTGAACTAAGGATGTGATTGGGTTGAGCCTAGGTGTGGGAGTGGTGATGAGAGAGGGAGAAAGAGAGAGAATGAGAGAAATTCTTTAGTAAGGAACTGCATTGATATGGCAATATGAAACTGACACATTTGAAGACATGATTAGAGTAAAAGGTAAAAGAAGAGAATGTTGAGAGATGAGGCTGCACAAGTTGGTAGAATTAGGACAGGAAGGGGTGCAAATGAATTTGGACTTCATCCCCCTAGTTTTGGAAAGCCAAAAAGAAAAGGATATAAAGAGATTTAGTTTCTGAAAAATGTTCTTAGTTAATGTGGAGGGCTAAACCCAGCTTATTACATTTGCAATATTAAAGGCAAAAGAAGATAATTGCACAAAAAGAGCAACAGGAATGAGAATTGAAAGATAATTAAGAGAGAGGAGTTCACGAATAGACACTAGGAAAGGAATTGGAGGACTCTAGGTAACTCCCAAATATAGAGAGAATAAAAGGCAATTGCAGGAATCTAGGTAACTTCCAACATTTACTTTAGATGACATTAGCCAGGATAGAACATAATAGGAAGATGAACACTTTTAGATTTGGGAAGAAGGTAGAGATTGAAGGAAAAGAAATGTTTAATTTTAGACATATTCAGTTCGAAGTTATGTTCAGTAGGTAGCTGGATATGAAGTCCAGAAAGGTGATATGATTCAGAAGTTATCACAATAGCGGTGGCAGTTTCAGTTATGAGTATAAGTAATATTTCTCATAAAGCTCATGTAGAGTGAAGAGAAGGGCAAGGGCCAAAATCCAAGCAAAATCAATATTGAGAAGATCACGGAGGACTGAGCAGAGAAAGAGAAGCATCCTGTAGAAGCATGTGTTGATGGAGAGGCAGAAGATCAGTACTGTGGAACCCATGGAAGAAGACCGGGGTGAGAAGAGGGGAAGCCAGCAATGTTGATGCTACGTTGGCTCAGAGAAAGACTGAAAATCAACCACTGTGTCTGACCATTGACACTTATTGGTGATCTTCATCAGACCAGCTTCTGTAGAAAACTGGCACTAGATGTCACATTGCTGTGAATCAAGGTTAAATGAGAT